AGGGGGAGGGTCTGGGGCTTAAGGGGTCACTTTGGGAGAAGAGTAGAACCTGGGGGAACTTCTCAAGGAAGGGAGATTTTAGGAAAATGGGAAAGGGGAGCATCCCAAAGACATAAGGGTGTAGGCGTGGAATTTAGAGGGAGAGGGAAGGGGGGGAGGGGAGAGGAGTGCTGGCACACCAAGCATCCATCCAGGACTGTGACCGGCCCGTTTTCTTCCCTCCATTTCTCCTCAGGCCTTCACAGCCACTCCTTCTTTCCCACCTCTCTAACCCCAGGCCATCCAAAAAGTTGGCTATAAATCAGTTTCATCCCAATCCAAAGCCTGCAGCAGGCCAGATGTTCCCTAAGCCCTGGGAAAGGGGGGTTGGGGGGGTTTAGGATGCATAATCCTTCCACCTGAGAGATTAAGGGTGAGCTGTTTCAGAGATGGGCGGCTTCACTGGTGGGCCTCCCTGTAGGCGGCCCAGCCTGTCCCCCTCTCCCTCACCCCCTTGAGTAGAGTCAGAGGGTTATGATGCTTTCCTTTCCCTCTTCTTCTAGTCCTAACCCAGGTCCTTTGGGGGTTTCACTTCCTCTTCTCTGTTTTCTATTTTATTCTGATCCCCAAGAGCCCCTTCTGTTTCTCTTATTGTTCTCACAGCCTCAGGAGCTCACATTTCTTTTCCTTAGAGGCATCCACAGGCTCACAGAAGTGTAGGGCTGGCAAGGACCTGAGATCGTTCTAGTCCAACCTTATTTTGTAGGTAACCAAGAAAGATTACTTTAAGGGGGATTTTCAATCACAGGCGTGGAAAACTCCAACCCTTAGCTTCCTTTAATAGTATATTTACTTTTATTTGTTACTGTTACACCTTTGTTATTAAATGCTGACTGTGTCTGGCCCACAAAGCCTGCCTCCTGGCTCAGTAGCCTGAGTGGAACAGGCCTTGGCACAGAGGAAGTAGAACTTGCCCAGAAAAAGAGTAGGTGCATATCCATGAGGGTCTGGGGTCTGTGCCATGAGTCTCCTCCAACCTTGGCTCTGGGTGGGATCCCCAGAGCGGGTCTTGAAGAGGTAAGGTTTGGAAGAGGTGAGAATCGAGGTTTTGGCTGATGATGGGTTCCAACGTCCTGGGACTGGAATACATGTTGAGGGTGTGGGAGAAGGGGGCAGAGGAGCCAGAAAAATGATTACCTTGCACAGAGTACAGGACAGAAGAGGGGAGGGAGCCCAGGTGGGCCTCGTTGCAGAGCCAGGGAGTTGTTTGGAATGTCATCTCATACACCAAAAGGTGGCGAGTTCGATTTCTTTGTCAGTGCACATACCTAGTTTGCGGGTTCAATCCCCGGTCAGGGTGTGTACAGGAGGCAACTAATCGATGTTTCTCTCCCACATCAATGTTTCTCTCTCTCTCTCTCTCTTCCCCCTTTCCTCTCTGGGCCCTTAATTCATTGCAAACTCTGAGAGCACCAGCGTATGCTTTGGAATTTTTGTGTGTTCCAAGTTCTCCAAGCCATCTAGTAATGTATAGGTTCTAAAATTTTACCAAGCAAGCCTCCAGGGGATGTATTTGTTTTGGTGCTAATCAGATTTCTATCAAACTCTGTGTCAGTGTTACAATAACGCTTATGGCACTAGCCTGCAGACTGTATTCTATTCAGAGGCATCAGAAGCTGCTCAACCACAGTCTCCCTCAGCAATACTTATCATGTATCCAACACAGTCCCGGACTAGAGGAGTACAGAAAAAAATCCAGGACATGAACTCGCTTTGGGTACTCTTGTAGCCAAAGAGACACATATTTAGGGCTTGGGAGAAGGGGGCAAAGGAGCCAGAAAAATGATTACCTTGCACAGAGACACATGAAATGACCCAAGGCCCTTAGTGAGAACATGGATTCTGCACAGCCCCAAGATGGAACCAGGTAGGATTAGCCCTATCCCGGGGGCTCAGTTGTTTGGAATGTCATCTCGTACACCAAAAGGTGGCGAGTTCGATTTATTTGTCAGTGCACATGCCTAGGTTGCGGGTTCAATCGCCGGTCAGGGTGTGTACAGGAGGCAACTAATCGATGTTTCTCTCCCACATCAATGTTTCTCCCTCCCTCGCTCTCTCTCTCTCTCTCTCTCTCTCTCTCTCTCTCTCTTCCCCCTTTCCTCTCCGGGTGAGGATTTAAAAAAAAAAGAGTAGGCAGGATTAGTCCAGAAAGGCTTCCTGGGGGAGGAGGCTTTTATGTAGCAATTGGGAGAAAATCCCCAAAGCCCCTCGAGGGCAATAAGCACTTTCCTAAGGCCTGAGGTACTTCACACCTCGGTGTTAGCACTCCTTATGCAGTGAGAATTACTTGTTTATACTTCCTTCTGCTCCATTAGACTGAGTCTCTGGAAGGGAGGAACCTTTTTTTTATTTCTGTATCACCAGGCAGTACTTGATATGTATGAGTTGCTTAATAACTATTTGAGGAAAAGAGTAAGAGGAAATGAGGAAATAAATGTACAGAAGCAGTAGAAACGGCCTCTGGAGGGGATCGAACAAATTAACTTTGCAGGAATAGAGAGCTGGTGTTGGCACAACATAGGAAATCCAGTGATAAAACAGTCATATAAGACATTGGAGGGCAGTTGGGGAAATTTGAATATGGACTGTTAGATCACCTTGGAATTATTGTTAATTTTCCGAGTATCAGAGTTGTTTTGCGATTAGGCAGGAGAAGGTCCTTGTTCTCAGGAGACATGTGATGACATATTTAGAGATGAATGATCATGATGTGTGCAACTTAACTTTCAAAACGGCTTAGCAAAAACAATGTATACCAAAAAAACACAAAAAACAATGTATACGGGAGGGCCAAAAGTAGGTTTACAGTTGTGAGTATGCAAAACGGTTTATTCTTGTATTATTTATTAAGTATTGTGTTATTTATTTGTAAAAGCTGTAAACCTACTTTGGCCCACTCCGTAAATTGTCACATTGTTTTATGTTATATGGCGGAGAGAGCTGTTGATAAATCATTAACCACTGTTGAATATGAATGGAAGGTATATATTCATTGTACTCTTTCAGCTTTTCTATAGGTTTGCAAATTTTAAAAGCAAAATGATTGTTGGGGGCAGAGGGAAGGGACAGGAAGTTGCTGAGAGAAATGAAGTCAGTGGGGTAAAGGCCAAGAGTGGACCTGGGGCGGTGCATCTCGGAGCCAGGTTCACCCAGAGAACTCCATTGGGTGCTCCGGCGCCTCCTCTGCCCTGAGCACTGACTCACCCAGTCTGGGAGAGGCACTGACTTGAGTCTGTTTTGCTGGGAGCTGGCTCCCGACAGACGTGTGCACTCAGTAGGCTGTGCTGTCTCCCTCCCCCAGTGTGTAAATACGTCGCCGTGGAGCTGAAGTCAGCCTTTGAGGAAACTGGCAAGACCAAGGAGGTCATCGACACGGGCTATGGCATCCTGGACCGGAAGGCCTCTGGAGTCAAGTACACCAAGTCGTAAGTGAATGGGGACCCACCGGCCTGGCCTGCAGCAGCCTGGAGTTCCCTTCTCCCTCCTAGCCGGGCAAACCCACCCAGACCGAAATTTGCCCGCTGGTTCTAATCCCAACTAATTGGGTGGTCTTCCTAAGTCCCTTAACTGCTCTGGCTTCAGATTCCTCATCTGTAGAGGCTAGACTGTTGGACCTTCTCAATGATTCCCAGCCTCTTGGATTTCATGGACCAATGCAATTTTTAAAATATCGGTAACACAGGATTACCAGCTTTTAATTTTGCCAGGTATAAATATTAAAAACAAACCAAACAAACAATGAACAAAACACTTCCTTCAGTTACGATCGTTTCAAAAGGAAATATTTCAACATCAAAATTTTATACATTTTGCTTTATTAAAAAACCTACTGAAACATTGAGCTTTATTAAAAAATTCCTTCTTGTAGAGCTGTTAAAATTTTGTCTCTCTGGTCTGTGTTCCAGCATTTCAGAGCACCCAGACCAGATGACCTATCTTCCTTCCAGCTCTGACTTCCCGTTGGTGAGACGCGCAGGTGTTGGGGTAGCAGGGCTGGAGGGACCGACCACTCACCCACTGGGGCCGGGCGGGGAACTCAGCACCTCTTGTGCGGCTGTCTTGGCAGGGACTTACGGTTAATCGAAGTCACTGAGACCATTTGCAAGAGGCTCCTGGACTATAGCCTGCACAAGGAGAGGACTGGTAGCAACCGGTTTGCCAAGGTGGGATTGGGCTTGTCCTTCCTCCCTGCTGGGGCCTGCTGCTTGTGGCTAAGTGTGTCTGCTGGTGTGGGTGCGATTTAAAGATCCTGCCCTGGGAGCTTCCCTCCTTGGCTTCTTTCCATTCTTCATGGATTGCCGTTTGCACTCCTCTCCTGGGTGTCCTGACTTTTCCATGGCAATAGGCACATTCGTAATGGCTGGGCCTGCTCTTCAGGGTCCTGCCTCAGTCTCCCACAGGCAGACATGCTCCAGGGCACGGCCCCCAGGGGGCCTCAAGCACTTGTGCAGGAGAAGTCAGGATGTGGGGTTTAGAGGAGATGTCAGAGACCCTTAGGGGATGGTGGTTACCCTGTCCCTCCTCTGTGCCCACAGGGCACCTACCTCAACCTCCATCAGGGTGCCCCTGTGACATTTAAGGCACTTACTCTGCAGGAATGCTTCTCTCACTGGAGAATGAGCTTTTTACAAAAAGGCCTGTATTTCTTTGTCTCTACATCTTCAGTGCCTGGCACGTTGCTCCACTGAAGCCCCCTCCTCGCAAAGGAGATCAGTCAGAACCCCTGGGGAACCTTGAGGGCTAGTGTCAGGCAGCAGAAGTCTTGGGTTTTAGCTTTTAAATTTGTGTTAATTTTGCCCTGACCAGTGTGGCTCAGTTGGTTGGGCGGTGTCCCATGCACCAAAGGGTCGCCCGGTTTGATTCCCCGTCAGGGCACTTGCTGAGGTTTCGGGTTCGATCCCCAGTGGGGGGCCATGCAGAAGGCAGCCTGTCGATGTTGTGCTCTCACATCGATGTTTCTCTGCCTTCCTCTCTCTCAAAATCAATCAACTATTCTTTAAAAATAAAATAAAATTTGTATGGATTTTGTACTCTAGTTGGTAATGAATTCATGTTTGCTTAACGTAAATATGTTAAAAGTTATTTTCCATAACAAGAAAATTAGAAACAACCTAACCATTCACTAGTAGGAGCAGGGCCAAATAAATTCATTGGCCGTTCAGCGGACTCTTACATAACTGAAAAACAATGAGGTAGCTCTTCAAGGACTGAACTAAATGATCTCCAAGGTGCGTTACTGAATAAAAAAGGTCAGGTGCAGAATAGTGTGTGTGATATATTACTGCTTGTGTAAAAAAGGGGGGTGTGGCGGCAAGGAGGGTGTGTTCTTACGTCTGTTGGCTTGTATTTGTTTACATTACCTTTGGAAAGATAGATAGAATGTTGTCTCCGGGGAGAAACCTAGGTAGCTGGCAGAAAGGTATTTTATGGAACAAAGTCTTTCCTGCCTTACCTATACCCTCTTCCCTCCCAGGAAAGATAGAAGCCCTAGAAAGAACCCGTAGCAGGGAGTGGGCCTGGATGTGGAGGAGTGAGTGTGCCCAGCCACAGTGCAGGGGAAGAGCCAGGACAGACTTATTTCCCGGGAAAGGAGTATACATTCAGACAGACTTATTTCCCGGGAGAGGAGTATACGTTCAGACAGACTTATTTCTTGGGAGAGGAGTACACGTTCAGAGGGCCTGAGGGCAACAGCAGACCCTCTGGAAAGGCTGAGGTGTGGGGACGCAGGACAGGTTTTGGGGGGGGATGTGGGGGTTAAGGGAGGTTGGCCTAAAAGAGTGAAGAGGAGTGTGGGGCCAAGTGTGAGAAGCCTTAGAGGATCTTGGCTTCTCAGAGTTAGGTCCTTGGGCCTCCTGTACCCCCTGGAGAGGAGGGCAGGAGGTAGAGAAGGGACTCTCCCTCTTATGTCTTATCGCCTCTTCCAGGGCATGTCAGAGACTTTTGAGACGCTACACAACCTGGTACACAAAGGGGTCAAGGTGGTGATGGACATCCCCTACGAGCTATGGAACGAGACCTCTGCAGAGGTGGCTGACCTCAAGAAGCAGGTAGGGCCCTTCCGCCCTCTGAGGCTCCTGTGCCCCACAGGGGTGGTGGGGCTGATTCCGCTGCTGAGGAAGGCCACCAAGAGTTGAGGGAGTCCTGCCGGTGTGGCTCAGTGGTTGAACATTGACCCATGAACCAGGAGGTCAGGGTTCGATTCTCAGTCAAGGCAGATGCCTGGGTTTTGGGCTCAATCCCCAGTGGGGGGGGTGCAGGAGGCAGCCGATCAGTGACTCACTCTCATCAGTGATGTTTCTATCTCTCCCTTCCTCTCTCTGAAATTAATAAAAACATTTTTAAAAAAAGAGAGAGGGTTGAGGGACTTTGGTCCTCTCACCTGCCTGGCTTCAGTTTGCTCAGGAGAACCCCAGTCACCTGCTTGTCTTGCGGTGGGCTGTGGGGCTCTGCTGAGCTCCTCTGAAGCGAGCCAGCGCTGGGGCTTTGCCAACACGAGGCGTTGTGATTAACAGTGCGACGTGCTGGTGGAAGAGTTTGAGGAGGTGATCGAGGACTGGTACAGAAACCACCAAGAGGAGGACCTGACTCAGTTCCTCTGCGCCAACCACGTGTTGAAGGGCAAGGACGCCAGTGAGTTTGAGGGAGGGAAGAGGCAGGGGGGTTGGCCCTTGATTTTATTGTTTGCTCCCCCTCAGGGGAGGTAGGTAGGAAGAGAATGGAAAAGAAATAAGAAATAGAGGGTGTTGCCCTGGCTGGGTGGCTCAGCTGGTTGGGCATTGCCCTGTACACCGAAAGGTGATGGGTTCAATTCCTGGCCACGGCACATACCCAGGTTGCAGGTTGTGGACCCCAGGATGTGTACAGGAGGCAGCCAGTCGATGTCTGTCTGTCGGTCTATCTGTCTGTCTCCCCCTTCCTCTCTCTAAAATCAGTTTAAAAAATTAAAATAGCCCGGCCGGTGTGGCTTAGCCATTGAGCACTGACCTAGGATCCAGGAGATCGAGGTTTGGTTCCTGGTCAGGGCACATGCCCAGTTGCAGGCTCGATCCCCAGTAGGGGGCGTGCAGCAGGCAGCCGATCAATGACTCTCATCATTGATGTTTCTACCTCTCTCCCTTGCCCTTCCTCTCTCTGAAATCAATAAAGATATATATATTTAATTAAAATAAAGAAATAGAGCCCAGCCAGTGTTACTCAGTGGTTGAATGCCAACCCAGGAACCAGGAGGTCACCGGTTCAAATCCCAGTCTGGGCACATGCCTGGGTTGTGGGCTCGATCCCTATTAGGGGGCATGCAGAAGGCAGCTGATCAATGGTGTTTCTCTCTCATCGATGTTTCTATCTCTCCCTCTCCCTTCCTCTCTCTCTAAAAATCAATAAAAACTTATTTTTTTAAAAAAATAGAATATCTGCCCTCAGGGAGCTTGATGTTACAGGGTGGGGTGAGAGGCACCAAAACCAGGTGCAAAACAACACGCAGAGAACTCAGACGCCCCCCGAGGGGCCTGGGGGCCACAGTGAGATGGGAGATAGGGACTCGGACGTCAGGCACCAATTCCAGCTGCTATTCCCAGTGGCTCCCCAAGCAGCGCTCCTCACCCAGCAAACCAGTGTGTTGAGGTGTCTCTCCTCCTCACTCCAGGTTGCCTAGCAGAGAAGTGGTCCGGCAAGAAAGGGGACACAGCCGCCCTGGGAGGGAAGAAGTCCAAGAAGAAGAGCAGCCGGGCCAAGGCATCTGGTGGCGGCAGCAGCAAACAGAGGAAGGAGCTGGGTGGCCTCGAGGGAGACCCCAGCCCCGAGGAGGATGAGGGCATCCAGAAGGCATCTCCCCTCACACACAGCCCCCCTGATGAGCTTTGAGCCTAACCCAGCATCCCCTGAACCCAGACCCCTGGCGTGGAAGTTGAAGAATCTGGAGCACGGCTGTGGCAGGCAAAGATAGCCGTCCCGGCCTCGGTCCTCCCTGCCTCGGCTGTGCCCTCTTCCTGTCAGGGACAGACACAGCTCTGGGAAGAACTCAGAGAGCTGCGGTCAGCCCGCACTGGCCTTTTCCCTCCGCCAAGCATTTCTCTCCTGGCAAGGCTTCAGGCAGGCCATGCGATTTCAGGACTGCCGAAAACTTCAGTGTGAACTCGGGAGCAGCAGGTGTCGCTGGGCCCCGGGACTGGAGCCCTCTGGACCCTGTGGGGAGGGCACATCTGGCCTTCATCTCCCCTCACTCCTGCCCCCACAGGAAAGCAAGACTACAGGCCCCAGCTCCTCTCTCTCCCCCTCCTGTGGACACCTTGTGCTCTGCCTGGCCCTCCCCAGGGTTCACAGAGTAAAAACCTTTTGGCCTTTTTTGTTCTGATTTCTGAGTCACCTTCAGCCCCTCAAAGGGGCCTGGAGCCCCTTGTTGCTCTTCCCTGCCCCTCACCTTCCAGCCTTGGGGGCTGAGGATGGGGAGGGCCCAGGCTGTTTGGGGGGCAAGGGCGGGTCAGGGCATGGGGTGAGGCGCAGGGCAGTGCTCTGGCCCTTCCCCTCTGCTGCCCTTGGGCTCCCTGGGCTCCCCAGGCCAGGAGGGGCCTCCCTGTGCCCTGAGCACCTGGCTGCCCTCACCCCCGTTCTCCCGCCTCCCCTCTCCCGCAAGGCCTTCCCATTTGCTGTGTAGTTCCCGGTGACTCTGCTGGCCCCTGCCTCGCATTCCCACCTCCATCTGGCCTGCCTGTTGGCCTCGACCCTTGTTCCCTGATTGATCACTCTGCTCCCGCTGTTGTCCCTGGAGCCCCAGTCCCCCAACGACAGCTGGTTACACCGTGTTCTCTGGGAGCAGGGGAGGAACGGGAAGGCTGGCCTCTTGGAGGGGTGGGGTTCAGGCATCTGCCCAGCCTGTCCTGAGGTCAGGGATCGGGGCGGCCAGTAGCAGTAGTGATGACAACTGCGCTATGCAGGGGGCTTTGCGTTACCCCTACCCTGCACTTGTGGACTGGGTACTGTTAACCCCGTTTTGTAGAAAAGGAACCTGAGGCTCAAGTCAAGGGGCATTCCCAAGGCCCTACTGTCAAGGGCACAGTGGGCACTGAGACGCTGGTTTTCCGACTGCGGGCCCAGCCATTGTATTTCCACTACGCCACAGCTGCCAGGGCACCATCCCCCCACGCCTGGCACTGGCAGTGTGATTCTTACTGAACTGGTTTGCTTTGGTTTCTTGGCCTTAACCCACCTCCACCAACACACCTCTTTTAAAAGGAAAATAGGAAGCAGCTGTTGCTTCTTAGGAGCGAACGATGAGAGGTCCCTCCAGCGCCGCACCCCCACCGGTCCTCCTGGAAGCACCCACACTGAGACTCCCTCACTCTTCCTGGGCTGGGCTCAGTGGGCAGGAGGGGATGCAATGCCCCAGATTCTTCAGCTGGTGAAGAGGCTCTGGGGTCTGCACTCCTGGCCGTGAGGGGCCCCTTCATAGCCTGGGCTCAGCCCCTCTTCCCTTTTCCCAGGTTGGGGCAGCCAAGAACAAACTGGGAGAGTAGAACAAACTGGGATTTTATTCCCTCTGCCAGTGAGGCTTAGAACAGGCCCTTGAAGGGTGATACTTTTTTAGTCTGTCCCCCACTGCCCCATTTCTAGGACTGACCCCTGTTAAAAGGGCTGTGGGATTCCAGCCTAGACTCAAGTTCCATCCTCAACTTTGTTCTGAGCATAGGAAATGACGGGTTGGGTAGGGGCTGGAACCCAGAGCTGGAAAACCATTTGCAAACCCCTGGCTTTCTAGGGTTTCGTGACCATTCCCCCGTTCTGTCACTAACCCGAACCCACAACACTTCAGTGCCTGGCTTATGTCTGTCCCCAAAGCTTTATTGATCCTTAGGGCAGGATGAGGTAAAGATCTATCTCCTTACCGGGGTGTTGGCCCAGTGGCCCAATCCCAGGCCAGGTCCAGACCAGAGGCTGTGACTGCTTTGCTCTTTGGCCTGTGGCTGCCCCACGGTGAGAGCCCTCTCCTTCTCCCTGCCCCCACAGGGCAGGCACGTTGCACACTCACCAGCTCTCCAGCAGGCAGCTTCTCCACAGGCCCAGCCTGGAATAGGCAAAAGGTTGCCCTGGCTGGGTAGCTCAGATATGCCAAGGTTGCAGGTTTGATCTCTGGTCAGGGCCCATACAAGAAGCAACCAATAAATGCAACAACAACAACAAAAAACAACAAATTGATGTTTTTCTCTAAAATCAATTTTTTTAAAAAGGCAGAAAGTAAGTTCCAGCTTCCCAGGTTTTTCTTTTCCTCCCCCCACCACACATACAAGCCTTTTTGAACTTGAATATTGCCTCCCACTTTCTCACACACTTTCCCTCCATAAGGTGAAGGGACTGCCTGAGCTCATTAACCTGATTTCTACCCCCTATTAGAAACTTACTCAAATAGGGTTTCCTACACTCACCTGGGCATGACAGTCACCTGGAATGCTTGTTAAACATATAGATGCCCGGACCTACCTCAGATTCGCTGGGTTGGAGACCTAGGAGCCTGCATGCTTAACAAACATCTTACCTTTCTTAAGATGAGGCCAGCTAGAACACACTTCACCAGGAGAAACCGGAGAAACTCGGGATGTCATGCTAAGAGGGAGCAGGGGTTCAATGAAGTCACACTGTCAGGGTCTTATTCTCAGAAACACTTGGCAGAACCCCAGAGAGGCTCTGTCTCGAAGGCTTCCATCATCCAGAATCACAGGCTGACCGACAAAGCATAAGGCCAGTTTGTTCCAATTCAAAGATTAAAGAACCATAGGCGCAGATAGTGGAGTCTCGCGTTGGGCCGTGTATGTTCATTTTAAAGGGCAGCTCCTAGAAGGCAGACTCCTCTATTTCCAAGTTCCTGGGTGGTATTTCTATGTAGCATCCTTTTGCAAATTAGAAAATGGTGCCCTTCACACCTTTGACTTGTCAGAAAGTTGTTTTAATACAAATTTTGTTAGATACTTGATCACCAGGATTTCTGCCAGAAAATTATACGAACCCATGAGGTTTGTGATATGAATGGAAGTCCTTAAATATGGAGCCCTTGCACAGTGCACAACCTAGTCAAATGTTGACAGCAGCTCTACATCACTTAGTTTGCAAGTGCTAACAAAATTCCTCTTATCTTTTTATCTTAAAAAGAGAAAGCACATTTCTCATGACAGATGCGTGAACCATGCCTGACCCGTTTATGGAAGAGCTCTGTGAACTAATCCCAGTGGCACAGCCAGCTGAATCTCTTTTGGAACATCCCCTGTTGGCCTAGTTTGCTTTATTAAGGCGTTTCACTGGATTAATAGGAGTAGCTACTTTCTTTGAGTGCTATGTGGCAAGCACACAGCTCTGCTTGCTTTACTTAACTCATTTCATAAAGCTGTTATCACAAGGCCATAAATTTTTTAAAATACTGAGAATGCACATACAGAAAAGTACACCTAGGTGTATGTGGCTCAATGAATGTTTCAAACACCACTCGAGTCACCAGCACCCAGATCCCAAAACATTATTACCATGACCCCAGAAACATCACCCCCCACACACTCCACAAAAAGGATTTTTGTCCATTTTGTTCCCTGTTGTATCCCAGCACTTAGTACAGCGCCTGGCACAGAGTAGCTGCTTAATAAATATTGGTTGAATGAATAAAGCGTAGAAAGGTTAACTTGCCCAAGGTCAAACATTTAGTAAGTGGCCCAACCAGGTTGAGCCCAGGTGAAATGGCTTCAGTGTCCCAGGGCATGGCCATTACGCCATAGTGCCCTGCAGCTTCAGCTTGTTCGGACACCATCCTCCCAGTACATAGCTTTCTTCTACAGTCTTTCTCCTTATCGAAGTTCACACTTTTGGTCAGTTGAGGGTTCAACGTTAAGTTTCCTAGATGCCTCCCAAAGGAAAAAGCGGTCCTGGAAAACGGGGAGCAGCATCTGGGAGCGACAGTTCTGACCAGAAGTCTCGGAGTCCCAAAGGTGGTGGCAATGCAGTAAAGGTCAGCCACATTTTGTGTGAAAAACAGTAAAAAGTCATGGAAGCCTTGGAAAAGTTAAAGTCTAGAATGAGATTCAATGAAGTGGCCACACAATACAGTGAAGATAAAGCCAGGCAAGGGGGTGACTTGGGTTGAATGACAGGAGGGTCTGTGATGGGACCATTTCAAGCAGCAGCATTTGTTTTGCCTGTAAGTGGGCTGGACAAACCTGTGTTTACAGATCCTTCAGTTAAGAGAAAATTTTGGTATATTATTATGGTTGAAGGCAGAAAATAAAATTGTATGAAACACTGAAAAAAAAGTTTCCATTTGTGTATAGCTTAAAGCCAGCTTGATCCTTAAGCTGCCCTTAAGGGGTGACTTTCCTCTCTTTACAATTTAAGAGGAATCCAACTTTATTCATTCATTCTCTAAAATTGCACCCTCTACCTATTAAGGTTGTACAGGCCAATAGAACTTAAAATGATTGTGATTGCGTATAGAGAGGTGTTGCTGTACATTGGGAGAAGCAGGCTGACCCCATCACCAGTTTAGTAGGGGCAACATCTATCACCGCCACCCCACCACCCACCACCAAATACAAAAGGTTCTGGCTGGGTAGCTCAGTTGGTTAGAGCATCCCAATATGCCAAGGTTATGGGTTCAATCCCCGGTCAGGGAACATACAAGAATCAACCAATGATGCATAAACAAGTGGAACTAATTGATACTTCTTTCTCCCTTCCTCTCCCTCTAAAAATCAATTTAAAAACAACACAGCCCAGCCGGGCGTGGCTCAGCGGTTGAGCGTCGACCTAGGATCCAGGCGATCGGGGTTCGATTCCCGGTCAGGGCACATGCCCGGGTTGCAGGCTAGATCAATGACTCTCATCATTGATGTTTCTATCTCTCTCTCTCCCTGTCCTTTCCTCTCTCTGAAATCAATAAAGATATATCTTTCAAAAAACAAAACAACACAGATGTTATTTTGTTAGGAATTACCAAGTGGTCTTGGTATTTTACTCTCCAACTTATCTAGATGTGATGGCATATGCTAAGTTACCTGTTTCAAGAGCAACGCTTAGCCTGTGACCAAGGCTCAAATAGTGGGTCATTTTTATGTGGAAAAATAGCTCAGAGAGCACATTGGCATATACCAAAGAGAAATTACTGGAGGTTAGCACACCTTAAAACTGCTTTTAACAAAGTGTGACATGGTCACAGCAAGCCTCTCTTCGTATACATTGGTGGAATTCTCAGATGCACAAAGCTTTATAGAATAGACACCATTAATTAATGTTACAACCCAAGGATATAGAGACCAACTTTACACTCACTTAATGAGACTTTATTAAAGCAGATTGAGCCTTATTTAGTATACAAAAAAGTCC